TCAGACCCAGCTTGCTTTGGGCAGGCAGCGTGGAGAGGTGACACTTAGGGCAGGTGTCCAACTTGAGTGTCACAGGGCAATATCTAGTACTTCATTTTACGGCTGCTGCATTTTTATCCCTGCTCACAGACGAAGGAGAACTTCTGACCCTATTGTTTGCTCGCCCTTTCTCTCTTTGAGGAAATGCTCTAAGTCGTTCCGGTTTGTATCCTAATTAAAAAACAACAACAAAAAAATTTCAGCTGTCATTTAAACAGAGCAAAGAAAGAAGGGGGTATAGTAACAGCCTCAGGCCCGGCAGGAGGAGATTGACAATGAGTTGGAAGCATGGGTGTGCTGTGATCGTTGTATCATACTGGGGTTTTTATTATTGTTCTTTCAAGATTTATAACAGCTGATCATGGGGTTTTTTGTCCTTTCTGGTACGTGCCCTGTTGGCCACAGAAATCTCTTTTGCTTATCTTTGAGGCTGGTTATGTTTAGACGTCAGAGCTGCTACGCTCATGACGTGGCCCGGTCCCGAAGCCACCAGCTATCGACACTGGAGCTGAGACAGGCTCAATGGCCCCAGCACCCACCAGCCTTTACACATGGGGTACTGGTGCCCACACTGCCCTGGCAGCGAGTCAGGACATGGCCATCTGGACCAAGGAGATGGGACACATCTCTGGTGCCATGAATTAGACAGAGCCAGAGTCTACCTTGGAGGAGAAGGGGATCCAATATTATGTTCACATCTGCTCACTGTCTGTCGCACGACAGTTCCTTCACAGCCTGCCATTCAGTGAACTTGATTCCATAGATGGTCTTCTAGAACCGATTTAACCTGAAATGCAGTTAAACAAAAGCTCAGTGAAAGTGAATGACCATATAAGCAGTAGGTTCTGGAAAACCTGGTGACAGACACTTGAGAAATGCTCTTTAGTTGCTGGAAGGTATTTCCCAAGGTCTCCTCAGGATGTTCTATGTCTGCGTCAGCTGATGAAAAATACTGTCTATATTTCTGTAGCCACAGGTGATTAGGAATTGCTCCCACAGCGTAATTCAAACCTACGAGGCTTCTCCCTGGATGGTATCAAATGAGCAGAGGCCTTTCCATGTTTGATTTGATATGACTGAACGAGATCTGCTTCATTTCTGCTTTGTCAGAGCTACAAAACTTGGGTCCCTATAGAAAGTGTACGTTACACTCGTACTGCGTGTCTGGGTTCAACCTGGCCATTTCCCGGACTGCAAAAGGCAGCGGTCTCTCCATTACATTGAGCTCTGTGTAGGCACAGATTTTTGGGGGACAAACAAAGAATGGGAGCCTCCAAATGATGCAAATGGCCTAGAGTCCGGTCTTTTTACCGTAATTAATATCAAATGCAAGTTTCCGTTTGCTCTGGGATCAGCTGCTGCTCAGCTTACCTTGCAGCAGAACATACTAAGGCCTCATTCATTCACGTTATAACTTATGTATTACCAGCCAGTTGGAAAATGATGACAGATTTGCATCCTGTTCTGCTCCGTTTAGGAGCTGATGTTCACTGACTTGCAATAACCGTATATTTGCATAGTGCCTTTAACTCCAAAATATTTTAGTTTTACATGACTTACGGGTGGTCATTTCTATCAGCCTTGAAGCGCAGTGACTTCAGGGTTGGAATGTGGCAGCCGGTTACCAGCACACCCTATATAATAACGTATTGTGTGAATATCTTATCCATATGAACTGCCAACAGAATTTGAGCAGGCAGGTATTTGATTCAGAAACCAGGCTAACCTTCCTCAGCCTCACTCTTACCACCAGATATTCAATACTCATAAATAAACAAGCCCCGAGTTCATGTCTAAAGACACTGGTCTTTCTTCCAGTGTTGAGCCGGAGCTGCAACAGACCCTCTTGAGGCTCCTGCTGAGCCCACCTCCCAGCAACCACCTCTGAGCATCTGACCCTCCGAGGTGCCGCTGAGCCTCTTTGTCCCGAATGGAGCGTGTCCCCACACAATGGGGATACAGCTGTCTGCCTGCCAGAGTTAATGAGCGTAGAGGGTAGGCCTTCAATTACAGGGGGTTTTTTCAAGCCATATTTCAGCTCTTCGTTTTATACAGGAGGCTGGAGGCCGAAATGCAAAGAAATTAAGTAACTTATTGATGATTACAAAGCAGATAATCGACAGAGCTCAGAATCAAGCTTAGCTCCCCACCCCCACATCCCTCTACCGCTTTGTGCATCTAACGAGGCACAACTTAAAATCCGCCGCTTTTTTTAACTTTCATGGTAAAGAAGCAGTTCTACTACAGCTTTCTGTTTGACTTTCTTTGGCTTTGCATCAAACCAAACCAGCTGTGCTTTTATTTTATACTCACTACCACCCTAAGGAGGTTCTTTTATGTGTGGGGGGCCATAGAAATTAAGTTTTAAGCTAGAGTTTAGTGGGATCAAATTTTTGGATCCAAAACTCCCAGAAAGTCGAGAAGACTGAATCCTAGGTCTTGTATAAAAAAAAAAGGAGAGGGTGGGGAAGGAAAGAAATCCAATGGTCACTTCTATCACTATATGGTCACAGTCCAAAAGGAACTGCTGGCTCCAACCAGGCTGCCAGAGGTCCAGAGTGCTGGGACAAAATGCCAAAAATCACCTTTTTTTCCATCCAGACAACATTTTAGGTGGAAAAAGGACAACATATCCAGGGACACCAAGATGAATAGGAGCCCTAACAACGCCAACTTTCCCGCTCCCAACGTTGTTTACACTCCCAACATTAATTGTGGTGCCAAACTGCAAGGAGTGTTGTGA